AAGCATTCTGGCCATGAAGTCGCCCAGTTTTCTGGGAGGCCCTGGGCACTCCCAGAAGGTACTGTGTGATTTCAGACCGTGGGAGTGCATGTGTTTCTCTACCTGGCCACGGCCCACTCAGAGGCACTTTCAGACAACCTGAAACACAGACTTGCTTTCTTCCTGAGACGTTTACACACAGAGGGACCGCGCCCCTACCAGCGTACAGACACGTGACGTGGTTTTTAAATAGAAGTCAAATAGAAACTCTTAAAGTATGAGATAATCAGACTGCAGAGAAACACGGTTCATAAATCCACCACGTACGCCTCCAGTGACTGCAGCCTTCCCAGACGACCACATATCGCGTTTCCCTGTCTAATTGCTGGTGCCTCTAATCACATCTATTACAACTTTAATGTCAGGCTGTACGTTCTTTCAGAAGGAAATGGCTGTCAGTGTCTAAAGAATTGTGATGAGCCTTGTATTTTATGACAGATAATGTCAGAGAATTACAGGAATGTACAATGCGTGGGGGTGGGGAGGCGCTCGAGGGCTCGTCATGATCGTTTTCTGCATATCTCGGAGACACTAAATAGTTGCTTTTATAAAAATTGCCTTCCCGTTAATTCTCCTTGGTTCTGGTAAAGCATCCCAAGACTACCCTGGAACAACATCATTAAAACATATGATACCACTTTGCTAGTGGATAGTTAGTGGTTATGTTTTGTGAGAGAAACAGCTTTATAGTTTTTTCTGGCTATAAAGTAATATATTTTCATCATTAAAGAAGCTTTAGGTAGTACCAAAATAGAATTTTTTTTAAGTAAAAATCACCCACAATCCACCGTCTAGAGATAAATGCTTTTAATGTTTCATTGTGTATACTTCTAGAATTTTTTTCTCTACTTGTATCTACAAAAATATGATATATACAGCTTTTAATATACTCTTTTGACTTAACCTAGTATAGATGTATTTCCTTGTCAATAAATATAGATGCACATTATCATTTTTAATGATATCATAGTTCAGATGTGCCACGCTAACTCCTCACTGGCAGACATTCAGATTACTCTGTGAGGTGGTTATCTTGCAAAAGATGCTTTTCTTCTTTTGGTTTCTACTGGCGTTCTCCTCTTTTAGCTCTTAGAGACCAACCATTAAAAGGTGATGTGCACTGCCCACCCAGACAGAGAACAGGACCCCAAAAAGCGTCTCCATCCGAAGTTTCCACATTTGGATGAGTGCAAATTTAGTTCAGTTACCACTTTATCACAGTAGACAGACACATGCTAAGTGTTTTATCTAAGATAGCTCATTTTATCCCCCCAGTCACTATGTCTTGTAGGTACTGTTATTGTTCCTCACGTTATGGGAGAAGAAGGTGAGGGCACAGAGAGGCTGCAGCTCAAACGTGGCTGAGTGCGAACTGGAGCCCAGGATTCTGACTCCTGTGCTAAGCTCTTGACCCGCCTATTGTCTTAGTTTTAAAAATATCCCAATTGCTTAAGAATGATTAATAAACAAGATTTTTTGTCACTTCAAAAAAATAATTGCATCTTTTGCTTTCAACGTTTTTTTACTTCCACTTTTTAATGGTGTTCATTCTTTTTACCAGAATGTTTTTGGAGTGATTGTTGAGTGCTTACGCTTCCTTGAAATGCTGTCCTTTTTCTTAGTGTCCTAACTCTTTGGGATTCTCAAATAACTTATCAGCTGAACTTCTTAAATACACGTGCAAGTAGAAATAACAGGGTCGTGCAACTTAAAACAGTTTCTTTGTCCAGGATTGTTGTGAATTCAGAATAACATCAGGCTTCATTTTTCAGAGATGGTAAGTTTCCTTTCCTACAAGCAGGTATTTTAGATTGAGAGTTGATGGCCTAATTAGCCATCCACCTTTTTTTAGCTTCTTGTAGAGTACTATAGATTGATTCAACGTAGGAAGTAGGTTTTACTGTCCCTTAGGGTGCCTGATTCTGCCTGACTCTCTTTATTCGCTTCCCTGAATGGCTCCTCTCCAGTGAAAATGGAAAAGGCCAGCAGAAAATGCTTGTGTTTGCTTTTATGTTGCCCTCTTTGGAAGTAACTGGAATCCTTTGCTAGCTCATTTCCACACTTGGATGATGTTCAGGAAATACCCTAGTGTGGGAATAAGTAAACAATATTTATATATTGATCAATATTTACATAAAATAATATAGGTAACAATTATTGAGCACTTACTACATGCCAGACACCATAAGTGATTGCATTTAGCACTTAACCCTTTAAGTTAGATATTACGATGGTTTAGGTGACAAGATAGGGTTCAGATTTAACCCCAAACACTCTAGCACCTCAAGACTTTGGCCATTCTGCTCTTTTTTTTATCCCGTTGTGCTAAGCGAATCTTCTTTGGGCCCCAGGTTCTTGATCTTGAAATAAAGAGGTGTTGGAATAGTTGATTTTGAAGGTCTCTGCCACCCTCAACATTTCCTGAGTCCACGAATCCACTCAGGACACCACCTCCCTGCTGGGAACCATCTCTTCTCCTCTTACATTTAATCACTACACTTGCCTTTGTCCTCTGGCCAACCTTCATTTACTCCGTGACAGTGCTTCAGCCAGAGGACACCAGAGCCACACAGACAGTTCCCACAAAACAGGCACAGAGGTCCTTGCGCACAAGACGCTCGCCGGGTCCCAGGCCCTGCCGAGCACGCGCAGAGGCAGTGGGACGCCAGTCATTCTGACGGTTCACGGCATGAGAACCAGATGTGAATGGGTTATAACTTATTCATGACTAGGATCTAAAATAGCTTGTTATAACTAATTCACAGCACCACGTGAGTACTGGGTGTACTATTTTTTTTTTCAGATTCTAAAATTATTACCCTATTTCCACAAGCTTTGTGTTGAGAGAATAGATAAGTCTACTTTTGATTGCCCAGGAACAAAGAAGTGTCCCATTTTTAAATGGTGAGACCTTTTACTATCAAAGATATTCCATTTCTGTTAGCCTAAGAAATGTGGTCCAGGGATACTTTGAAACATTGTGTCTGGCGTATGAAGAAATTACAGGATGAGGTCATGTTCAAATCAGTGCTGCTGCAGTGCTTTTTGATTAATGCCGCGTAATTCTTGTTGAGATCTCCAGTCGGTACGATCGGGGAGCCGTATAAAAGTAACTGAAGCCCGTACGTAATTTGGGAGTTCAGACACGAAGGAAGAATGGGGGCTGATTAGGCGGTGGGGGGGGGGAGGTGGTTTGCCAAGAGCAGTGCGGATTGCGGGAACCAGTGTGCAGAGGCCCCGTGCTGGGGCTGCGGCAGATGCCAGGGGTGAGAGGGCAGCAGTGTAGGTGGTATGGGGCGAGGCCGGGGCAGGGGTGGGCAGCTGAGCAGGCAGGGTGGGCCAAGAGCATCGGAGGGACGAGGCAGCGGGAACTAAGATCCCGCATGCGCACGGCGTGGCCAAAAAAAAAAAAAAGCAAGACTTGTTGGTGAGTCTTTCTGCCGTACCGGGTGGTCGGCAGGGCCTTCCTGGTTGCTGACTGTCCCACCTGGAGCATAGGGAGGGTGGGTCCCACCTCCTTGAGCAGTGCGGCTCCGGGCTCGCCCCGCGCTGCGCTGGGGGAACGCGGCAGACCTTCCCGCCGAGAGGCTGCTGCAGTGGACTGCGCACATTTCCCCCTCAGCTTCAGAGCACTGGAGATCACGTGTACGCTTTGTGGAAAGCATCTGAATTTCTGCCTGAAGGTGAAGGCCACCCCCGCCCTCCAGATTCTCGCCCACAGGATCTGAGGGTGGGCGAGGAGCAGCCTCGAGGTTCAGATGCAGCATCTCTTGATTAATGTTTTCACTTGTGGGCAGGACGTTCCTGTTTTTCCTTGGGTGTTTGTGAGAACAAACGACGTAAGTGATGGGGAAGCACTTTGTGCTTGTGCAAGTGGAGATGGTCCATAAATAAGATCACGATGTCATCATTTATACATTAATGCCCCCAAAGGGAGGAAAGGACATTACTTTGAATTGGGTTGAGAACTGGACGTGAGCTACTGACAGGCAGTTTGTCCTCATGCGGATACAGAGCAGACCCAGTGAGGTCGGGGTCCTCACGTCTCTCTGAGAACCATCATTAAAAGCATGTTGTCACCACGAGGTGATGTTAGTATCCCTGCCCGCTCCGGGAAGCTGTCTCGGCCAGGTGCCAACCTCTATAGAACTTGGCCCTTTTCAAGTGTTAACTTTCTGACCATATAGAGGGAACAGTAAATTCACAGAAATTTAATGTCTAGTGAATTTGCCACGGGAAAAATCATGGATGTGGCCTAACCTCCGAGTCACGATCAAGGTAGCCTGCCCCATGGGTGGTCTTGCTTTGAGATGCCCACGCCCTTTGCTTCTGCCAGGGTTCCACGGGAGGAAGCGGGCAGAGTGGGGCTTGTTCTCTGGCTGCCACCGTGGCTGGAACGCCATCCTCTGCAGTGAGGGCTGCATCTCTGGGGAGAGAAGAGGGCCTGTGTCCAGACCACGCTGCCTCTGACCGAGCAAATAACTGTAAAATTGCCGGTGGCTCCCGGTGACACTGAGACACGAAATGGGATTTGCCTCGAGACAAGGAGCTGCAGTACAAAGCGCCCACGACATGTAGTGTATGCCCTTTTGACAGGGAAAGTGCAGTGTTTTGTCAGCCACGCTGCACTACTGGCTGACACACGGCTGAGAGGGCCTGAGTGCCTCTTACTCGAGCAGGAAGCGTCATTCATCTGCAGCAGACGCCGGCACCTCACCTTCATCCATCACGCTGACGCTTTCAGGGAGGGGTCGTCAATGCTCCTTCACATCTCTGGCTCCCATAGCCAGAGATTCTGAATCAAGCCTCCCAGAACCAACTCCATCCCTTCCTCCATATTATCTGCATCTCTCAGCTGTGTCTCCTTGGCCTGAACAGGATGCTTCTGTAGCTTCATTCACGTCAGCTTCTGGGAAGGACTAAGTCGTTGCAGTGATTCCACGTCATCAGTAACTAATGGGAAGACATTAAACCATCACCTTCTTTTAAGCAGCAGCAACTCCCTGTCCTCAGCAAGTCAGTGATACTATGTACCCTTTCGAGCTGATGAGAAAATACTGTAGTAATTTGGATCCCATCTGGAGGTGTGACTTGTTTCCTCGGACCTAAGTGGACCTGTCTCACGCATGTATATCCAACAACCAGAGAACGCCCCACACAGATGGCATCTCCTCCTCTGGGCCTTTTAAGTCAGCATAGAGTGTGGAAGAAGAGAGACCAACCTCCAAATGGAATATCACGGGGCTGAAAAACCCCTGTCCTCTGGTTGTCAGGGCTCCAAACGGAGCCGTCAGAGCTCACTTGCCGGCTTTGCATGTTATATAATCGCGCTCCTCTATTCACCTCATGTTCCTTCTTCCCCAGACTGCCTGCCCAGGCTAATGGGAAGCTTCAAGGGCACGCTTGTATTTCTGTAGTTATGACGGTGAATTAATGAATTACAGATTTAGTGCCATTCAAGTCGCCGACTCGCCAAGGCCGTTAGAATGTGAATACTTATTTAAATCCTATTAAATTTGTTACAAATAAAATTTAATACCAAACTGTGATGGGACTGGGGTGCCTGCTGAGGCCACATTTCCCCTCCCCTCCCTGCCCCCCACGGTAGGTCACAGAACACATGTTTATTTCTGGTGTCGGCGACGCCTCATTTTGTGCCGTCAGTGCCGGACGAAACTGGGTTGCAGTTTTAGCACGTCGCGCTCTCTCTGTGCAAGGCATGCCTGTAAGTTAAGCCAGAAGCTCGTGGAAGCAAAGGCTCTTCAGCCCTGAGGGCCTCAAGCTCCCCTGGTGCCGCACCCACGCTGGACAACCCGGCGCTGGGCCCACTGGGTTAGCAGGTGCTGGCGGTGGGCCTCCTGGGCGCCAGGCACCGTGCAAGGGCCCGGGGTACAGCGGGGACCGAGCCTGCAGTCTGCGCGTGGAGGCGCGAGACCGTTAACTAGTTGTGGGCAGGCCGTGAAGGCTTAGAGTGCGTGACGTCGCCCAGCCCGGGGGCCAGGGCTTCCGGGAGGAAGTGAACTTGGGCCGAGAAGTAAAGGACACGCAGACGTCAGCTCACGGGAACGGTGGGGCCGAGGGAGGACCCGAGAGGAGCACTCCGGGCAGAGGAGCCCAAGACAAGGCCCCGGGGTGCGGAGGCGAGGCCCAGCCAAGGCCCTGGAGGCTCACCGAGCAGCTGAGCACAGAGGGCACAGGGCCAGGCCCGGGCCCATGTGGACCAGCCTCACTCAGAGCCGTGGGGGCCCCCGAAGATCCTGTGAAAATCACTCTGCTACGACGTGGGGACGGAATCGAGGTGGCGAGAGAGGACAGAGGGAGGATTCCACAGCGATTCAGGTGAGGGTGGTGTGGCTTAGGTGTAGAGACGGAGAAAAGCAAGTGGACTTGAGAACTGTTTTCCAAGTGGGGTCACCAAGACGCAGCGGTGGACCCTCCAGGCTGCTGGGCAGCGAGGGGGCAACTGTACACCCGGCTCGTTCTTCATCCTTCCAGACACACTGAGTTCTGGATCAAATGTAAATTGTTCTTTCTCGTCAATGGCAAACCCCTAAAACACAGGCTCTGCCTGCTGCATCAGCCACCAGGAGCGCAGATTTGGGTCCATCCTTTTAAAGAGGAGAACAAGGCATCTCCTCTGGCGTTGCCACTTGCGAAGCCCATCGTAGCGCCTAGGAGTTGATGTTCCCGGTGAGACAATGGAATTGATGCCAGAGTGACCGACTCAGGTCTGCTGAACAGAAGTAAACGTGGGCGTCTCTACCGGAAGCTCCAGAAGCGGTCCTGCATTTGCCTCCGTTTGATGTCGAGGCTGTCCAGCTTTCGGACAGCCCTTCACAGCTCACGCCCCAGACTTGCCTTGTTCCGGGCTGGCTCCTTTGTTAGGTCAGCGTCCTCCTCCCAAGGCCACGTGCTGACCACACAGGGTCGGGATCTCAGGCACCGTGGGGCTCCAGTTAGAATTAGTGTCTGGCCCGGCAGCCCCATACAAGGAACTTGTGGCTACAGCAGGGAGACAATTCGGGGGCGGAAACCTTCCTCGCTCCTGTGGAAAGGCTGCTCTCAGCTCCCCTGAGGAAGGCTCTGGTGGATGGAAACTCAGCTGGCATGGCCTGCAGCCAGCTTTAGGTAGAGCTCAAGGCCTGGGGAAATCTGATCTTCCTTGCATAGAAATGATCCTGTATTTACTCAACCAGTTCCCTCTTGCTGGATTTTGAGTTGTCTCTGGTCTTTTCTGACTGTGAACTGCACTGTAATGACCGTCCTCCTATAGCTACACCTTCTCACATGGAGGCCATCATTTCCCTCTGGGGGACTCCTAGAAGTGGAACCGCTAAGTCAGACGGAAGCTAAATTCTAAGGCGCCAGATACACTGCCAGATCGCCTCCTGTAATAGGTGCAGTGAACACTCCCACCCAAAACTGCGCTGTTTCTTCTTAGTCACAGCTGTCTCTTGCCAGCTTCCCCCCTGACAGGCGTGTCCCTTCCAGGACGTGTCCGTGTGCACCCTTCGCCCAGGCTTTGTCCGGCACGTTCTCTGTCCTCTGCACTCCCTCACTTTCCTTTCCTCCTTCAGCCTCCTCGTGTGAATGAAAACGCGTGTCCTGGGTTCCAGCTACGCGCCGTTCTTAGCTCCAGAGCTGGGGTGTAAATATCTGTAAGCTGCGGGGCTTACAGGTAACAGACAGTGCTTGGTGTTGCCCGGCGTGTTGCCACCTCCAGAGCGGACCCTCGTGCCACCCTGCCACACACCCGCTCACCGGAAGCCCTCTGAGGGGTGGTATTTCCTTTGGGGGCGCTCGTTGGCCCAGCAGATTAGGAAAAAGGCACCCGAGGCTCTGTGTTCACAGGAATAATTTATAGGCAGATAATCCACATTTCATCCTCAGCCTGTTTCAGTGCCGCGCAAGGCGTCTTGAATTACTGGGCTAGCTTTTACAGAATGGCCGACTGACTTCGCCACATTTCTCGAGTTACAGCGAAGGCCCTGAGCAAGTGGCTGATGATGGAGGATGGAAGCCGGCGGCGGGGGGCGGAGGGTGGCAGATGGCAGGGTCTGGGTCCGGCCTCCAGACACCCGCAGCCACCACGTGGCCCGGTGAGAATGGTTCTCAGGAAATTCCCAAGGAAAGAAGGACTTGGGGGGCTCTCAACTCTGTGAGGTCCCGGGACTTCCCTCCGAAACACCACGCTTGTCGTCCTCCTGGCCTGCCAGCTCTAGGTTCCACTTCCCCGCGCCCGGTTCTCCTGAGCGGAGGCAGCAGTGCTTCACCTCCTCAGGGAAGTCTGTCAAGGGAGATTTTGCTCTCAGTCTGTTGAAGTCGGGTAGCCCACGGAGAGCCTAGGATTTGGAATCAGGGAGCCCTCTGCATCCGGAGCGGGGCCTCACACTGCCCTCCAGCCCGCAGAGCCAAGGAGGGCAGGCGGCAGGCGGCGTCCTCTTCCAGCCCGCCACCCCGAGACCCTCGTTGTCGGGGACAGCCACCAGGCCCTGTGTCCCCTGCAGGTCATCTGGATGCCAGCATGGCGACCGCAAACCTGGAGAACCAGCTGCACAGCGCGCAGAAGAACCTCTTGTTCCTTCAGCGGGAGCATGCCAGCACGCTCAAGGGGCTGCACGCTGAGATCAGGCGGCTGCAGCAACACTGCACAGGTACGAGCTCCGGGGACCAGGGCGGGGGGCAGCCCCAGGCCTGCCAGGGCTGTAGAGCAACGCAGGACCTGTCATCGAGGTCACCTCGCACTGGCTGGCTCAAAAGCTGTGCGGGGTGAGTGAGGAGGGGGTCTTCTTCTTCTCTCTCTCTGGTTAACCCTGTCATCGCTGGGGTCCATTTGAATGCGTCACCTCATCCTCTTTGCCAAGGCCACACGCTCGAGCGTAAAGCTGTGAAGCCAGTTCTCAGCTTACTGAGGACCTGAAGGATCCAGGTGCAATGGTTAGAAGCTACCATGCGTCTTGGAACCAGGGACCAAAGTGTACTACACAGAGCAAGCTGCCTGCTAATTGTGGGTGCTGGAGTGTGTAACAGGGAAAAGAAGGGCCCCCCCGAACCCGAGTAAGGACAGCGGCCACTGATAGTTGCTGTTCTCACTCTTGCCTCTAATGCTGCCAACCTCTGCCCTGTTCGGGCAGGACTCGCAGGCTGATCGTGCGTTTTCAGAGTTGATGAAGGTCTTGAAATACACTGTAATCATACAAAATTAACATATATGATCTCCTTTTTAGATTTAACGTATGAGCTGACACTTAAAAGTTCGGATCAGACAGGTAAGAACTCCCTTCCCCAAAGCTGATGCTTCCTGTTGTTTCCTGTTGAGGCACACGTTGGTCCACCTGTTTTCACTAATTACACACGTAGAAGAAAACACACTTGCTGTGAAGAGTTGCACATGTGACCAGGGCTCTCTGAGAAAAGGTGGGAGGGCAGTTTGGACCCCTCGGTGTGTCGGTGGGGTGGGAGGGGTGAGTGCTTTTATTTCCTTCTGATCGACACACGTACTTGGAATGCCTGTTCTGTGTTCTTCTGGGTTTTCTGATTTTTTACAGTGAGTATGTGTCCCTTCTGTAATCAAGAAATAGATGTGATTTAAACCGGAAGGAAAGAGGAGATGGAGCGGGGTCCCACCTCCTCTGTGTCCGTGAAGCTTAGCACAGGACCTGGCACAAAGTGTGTGCTCTCTACAGACTGGTTGAGCGAGGGGTCACATGACTGGGTGGCCCCCAGAGCAGCGCTGAAGGTCTTTCTCTAGACTCTAGTCCCAGAAATGCTCCCCCAAAACCAGAATCCTCAGGGACCCCCAAAACTATCAGCCTGATGGCAGCTGGAGCAGAGGAGACAGAAGCCGGGGCCTCTGTGGCCTGTCCCAAATAGCTGCTCCCCAGAACAGGGTGAGGCTTTTAAAAGTGTAGAAACCGCATTTGAGTCGAGATGACTTTTCCTAAACAGGCCTCACACGAGCAGCAACTATTCACGAGCGAGTCTAGGTCCTCGTGACCGTTCCCCCGAGCCCGAGAGCACCGTCCAGCACTGACGTTCCATCTGCGCCACCCGTGCCACGTCTCCTAAGTGTGCCTTCCGGGAGCCAGGACCCCCTCTTCCTGTGTGTGGTAGATGAGGGGCCTGGGGACGGGGTTCAGGAGAGCAGGATGGCCACCTCCAGTCGGGGACTCCAGCCCGCACCCCGCCATCCATGTCACCGAAATCAGGCTGTCCTTACTTCCTGTCCCCTCTGAGCCCACGCTAATCTGTAGAAACACCATTCTTGCCCTATATCCTCTCCAGACGTGGTTCTCGGCCCTGAGTCCCGAGGCCACCCGCCCACCAACCCGGCCCCTCATCAGGGGCTCGTGGTAACAGCTGGCGTGGGGCATCTCCTGTGGGGGGCAGAGCGCAAGCCTCTCAGGTGGGCCTGTGCCCCGCCCAGGGGTGGAAGCACACGCAGACGCGGCTCTCAGAGGAGCCGTTCGGCAGCTTCTCTGACATCCCTGAACCCGCATCCTCATCTGAGAGGCACCCACAAACACTGGTTCCAGCCTCACCACCAGGGCCTCCTACCTTCACGGACCACCCGCCCCGTTCAGCCGCCCTGCACAGCGCCAGCACAGCCAGGGAGAGTCTTGCCGAAGGGCGGCCTGTGTGGTGTTAGGGGCAGGCCAAGGACCAAGGAGGGGCCTGAACTCAGGCCCAAGGATGCCATGCTCTGAGAGGTGCAGAGAGGGGACCCGTGTCGGGGGAAAGGTGGCAGCCTGGCATCCAGCCTCCTCCGCAATTTCAGAGCTTTGGTGCTCTAGACATAAAGGAAGTCTACATTTGCCTTTCCAAACCGTGCTTGGAATGGCGCAGACAGATGGCTCTGCTAACAGTTTAATCCTCAGCCTTTGGAGAAGTCTAATACTCTGAAATTGCCCATTTTAACGTCAGCATTTTTGAAATTTGGAGACATCCTTTTATGCAATAAGCTGGAGAGCTGGATGGGGCCTCAAAGACCGCCTGATCTCCCACCTTTTCCTGGGGGGAGAGGACACGGAGGTGGCACGAGCGATGGGGGTCCTACCCTCCGTGTGGCCTGTGGGCACCGCACCCATCTTGGCCAGGGGAACTGCCACCGTGGGGAGGGGGGGCCGGCCTAGACCCCCGATCCCCGCACAGAAGGTCTCCCTGCCCCCCAGGGCCTGGCCGCCCTGCCCTCGGGTTCTCACTCCGCTCCCTCGGCTTGGCCTTCCAGGAGACAGCTCTTCTAGAAGCAGCGAACTCAAGAAAAGATGTGAAGACCTGGAGGCGCAGCTGAAGCTGAAGGAGGACGAGAACAACGAGCTGCTGACCGAGCTGGAGCAGAAGAGCGCGATGGTCGTCGTGCTGGAGAACAGCATCAAGGAGCGCGAGAGGCGGTACCTGGAGGAGCTGAAGGTGAAGAGCCACAAGCTGGGCGCGCTGAGCAGCGAGCTGGAGCAGCGCGCCGGCACCATCGCCTACCTGACGTCGCAGCTGCACGCCACCAAGAGGAAGCTCCTGAGCTCCGGCGGCACCTCGGACGGCAGCCCGGCCGGCAGCCCCGCGCTGGCCAGCTACAAGCCGGCCCCGCCCAAGGACAGGCTGCCCGAGACGCCCCGGCGCCGCATGAAGAAGAGCCTCTCGGCCCCGCTGCACCCGGAGTTCGAGGAGGTCTACAGATTCGGGGCCGAAAGCCGGAAACTGCTTCTACGAGAGCCGGTGGACGCCATGCCCGACCCCACCCCGTTCCTGCTGGCCAGGGAGTCGGCCGAGGTCCACCTCGTCAAGGAGCGGCCCCTGGTCATCCCCCCCATAGCCTCGGACCGCAGCGCCGGCGAGCAGCCCAGCCCCGCCCGCGAGAAGCCGCACAGGGCGCACGTGGGCGTGGCGCACCGCATCCACCACGCGACCCCGGCGCAGGCCCCGCCCGAGGTGGAGACGCTGGCGGTGGACCAGGTGAACGGAGGCGGCAAGGTGGCGAGGAAGCACTCAGGGACGGACAGAACTGTGTGAAGGCCCCCCGCGACCCTTCCCCGCGCTCTCGAGGCACTGTGATCACTCCTAGGAAAAACTCAGCCGCACCTCCTCTGTTTCTTTTCTTTTTCAATTCCCATGCATGCCGAATTGTTTTCACGCCTGTCAACAGATTATTCTCCTGCTCCCCCTGCCCTCTGACCGACACCGAAACACGATCGTGTCCCTGCTACGGAATCCGTACTTACTAATCGCTGCGGCCAAACACCTGTGTGCCGACTCGCTTGCTTCCAGCCCGGCTCCGCGGAATCTCAGCGCGCTCGCGGACAAAGCACGGGCCGCAGGCTGCGCCGCTGCTCGACGTTAACGACATCAGATAGTCACACGCCTAATTATAAAGTCGGAGCAACACATAGCGACCTTGACCTCATCCCTCCCGTTTCCAGGGCGGCCTGTCCGGAGCAGCCCTGCTCCCTCCAGGAGACCCCCGTAACCTCCCGACACACCCTCCCCCGGGGGGCGGCACGGATAACCGAGCAGATGTATGTTAAGTCACGGGAACTAAATAAGATGACGTCACTCCTCATATCACCACGACCTGAATGTGTTGTTTTTTGTTAGTTTTATCCAAAATGTTCAAGATCCCAACAAACTTTATTTTCTAAACCTGCCTTCTTTCTGTTCTGTGTCTTTTATTAAACCACCCGAGGGTGGGCCTGGGTGGGGGGGAACAGTGGGAGGGAAAGAAATAGCGCCCGCTTCTGCCCCTCGCCCCCAGTAACCGCTGCCCTGACAGTGGGCTCACCCAGGGGTGCGTCCCGGGCTGGGGGTTCACTTCCGGAAAGATGAGTCCCCTGCCGTGTCTCACTGCCCTGAGCCATCCCTTAGAACGTTCTGCGCCTCGGAAGTTCTAGCAAAAGCCAGTTGTCCCCGTGACTGGCCTCGCCCTCGTGTCCCGCTAGTGCTCAGCTCAGCCCAGCCCCGTTCCTCCCTCGCAGGGTAAAGCCGCTCCTCGCCCCCGGCGGCCGGGCCTGGCCGGAGTAGCCCCAGGGGCGCAGGAGGAAGGGACGCCGGGTAGCCGCCGGTCCTTCAGGTTCTTCGTCTGCACCCAACCCCTCACAGCCTCACGCAGGAATCAAAACACCAGGCTCAGCACCCTCACCCACACGCTGCCAGGCCAGCGCCCGGGGAGCCGGGCTGGAGAGTTCTGGAAGGGTGTGGGTGACTCCGGCCTCATCAGCCCAGGGACGGGGGCCCTGCTGCCTCCGCGCAGCAGCCTCGGCCTTCTACCCCGCGCCCCAGCACGCAGCCCTCGCTCCAGAGAGGCGTCTGCTGAAAGAGACCTGGACCATCAAAAAAACCACCTTTGACAATTTACGTTAGAATTCTCACCTGTGCCATCGACGTGCAGGCAGTTTTGCTTAAGTGGTTCCCCTGAGAAGGAAAAGCAAACTCGACACGTCTTAAAATGCTCTTGTTGAATTTACTTTTTGAATACCACAGAATCCTTTTTTTTAAAGTTAAAAAAAATAAAACCATTCAGGTTAACTTATATGGAAAGACATATATAAATGGCTGATTTCAAATGAAAGAAAAAAATCAGTGTCAACCCCCCTCCTGCCTCAAGAGGCCCCAAGAAGTGACAGCAGATGATGCGTCTTCACGAATTCCCAGCACATCCGTTGCCGGCCACAGACTTAGAATCTCGTGCCGTTTTCTTCACCCAGAGGGTTAATCAGAATTCAGGGTGAGGCATACCCCTTGCAGGACCCAGTGAGAAATGTGCTTCGTGGTAAAGAGATCGGCTTCAAAAACCAAGCCGACCCCCATGGCGTTCCTTCTCATGGAGGTGGTGTAGACGGGCGTCCGGAAAGTGTTCTGCACGGGAAAGGGGCGTGAGGTGCCGGCGCGGGCAGAGGGGCGCGCGGGTCCCGGGGAGGGCGAAGGCTCGTCTAAGCGCTACGGGTGCGGAGGGGCCCCGCGAGGTGCCGGGCTCTGCTGACACCCATGAGAAGCGGGGTCGGCCAGCAGAGCAGGCCGTCCTGCAGGGGCGCCTGCCGCCCACACCGGATGTAGCTACCTTCCGATCCACGCAATGAGCGCAGAATTTCACCAGAAGGGAGGAGTCGCTCCTCAAGCTGGTCTGGGCCACAGCCTCCAACCTTGAACCCGTGCCGCCCCCGGAAGGCTCTGCACACACGCACGCGCACGCATGCATTGTTCCCCCGGGACGTGGCTCAAAGGCTTCCCCCAGCCCTGAAAGGTTAAGAGCCCCTGTGCTAAAAGGCAAGACTCTTGGAAACCACCTGGTGTCTAACTCCAGTCAGAGGAGAAGAGGGGAAATGGGGCAGGCGTCGGCCTTTCACCTGCAGTTTGAGGCGATGGGCTTCAGTGGGGATGATCTTCACGACCGGCAGGTTGACGGCCAGCACCTTGGATTTGCTCTTGATAAGACATCCTTTTTCTACATCCCAGTCAGCGCCTTCTAGATAGAGTCCTGAGACAAAGCATCCTAGAGGCACCAGGAAGAGAGCCGCACTTAGGCGGAGGCAAGTGTCATTCTGCCCAGCATTCGGCAGCTCTAGCAGATGCGCATATGGACAAACAAAAGGGTAACTAACTGATTCTCCTTCCCCATACACAGCCCCCGCCTTTTCCCAAGAGGGGTGGCCACCATTTCTACCCCGCCCACTTTCCTTTTGTAGAGCCCAGATGGGACACCCTGGAGACCCCGTGACCCTCCATACGGCCACAGCGCCATGGAAGAGGGGTGGTCGCCTCTCCCCAGCAATGTGGCATGAAGGCCCACAGACTTAACTGGCCTCGGGCCCCAGAGTCAGCTGGCACCATGGCCACCCCAACACTGCCGGTCCCTCTGAGACCTCGCTGGCCTTCTACAAAGAGGACTGAGCGCTCCACAATGTTCACCATAAACCCCCTCTCCCTAAGCTAGCTGAAGAGGGCTTTTGTGCTTGCAGCGAGATGTCCTCTAAGACACGACCCCCCGGGAAACCACAGTTTCCAGCCACAGTTCACACAGCCAGTAACCAGTGTCTAAGGGACTTGACGTGACAGCACAATTGAACGGTTCCCACCTGGCCCATCCTGCTCTCTGGCTACCATGCCCCCGGGCCCTCATGGGTTCCAGGGAAGCCAGCTGGCGATCCAGTTCTTTCTAACCTAGTAGCCCATTTCCCACAGACAAGCTGGGCGAGTGTGGCTCAGCTCTCCCCTGACATCAGCCCACGTCTCAATGGAAAAAACTGGAAAAGAAACACCTGGACTCACCCTCAGAGACGTCAAGCCCCACGTGGACAGCACACAAACATGGCCAGTATTTGCAGCAGTCTGACTTTCCGGGCCCACACTGCGCTCAGCCCTTCTGAGGGTAGCTTGGGGAGGGAGACCCTACGTGAGAGGCCGTGAATCCGCAGGGAGCTGGCCGTACCTTGTCCTGCCCGCTCATTCACTTCGTCTGCATCTTGGAACTTGGTCACTTGCGTGAACAGGGTGGAGCGGTCCAGCGGCCAGCCGTTCCTCCGGCAGGTGGCCTGCACCAGGGCCGTGAGGTAGGATTCTGGGATGTGCAGCCCCGAGAGCCACATCACACTGGGCTCACTCTCGGTGACCTGCAGAGAGAAGGCAGCTGGTGAGAGCCTGGGGCTGCCATCCAATGCCAGGGGCAAAGCCGACAGAAGATGTAGTTCACGTTAGGGGCAGGAAGATGGTGTTGGGACAACTGGCAGCCCACTGGGAAAAACAAGCTGGATCACCAAACTCCAGGTGCAGCCAAGATTTAAATATAGAAAATACACCACATGCAGACTCAGCGCTTCCACTGCAGGGGGCGTGGGTTCGATCCCTGGTCGGGGAACTAGGATCCCGCATGCCGCGCAGCACGGCCAAAAAAATAAAAACAAAACTAAACTAAATAAATAAACCACGAAAGTACAAATCAAATCTCCAGTGAATGTTTTCAGAATCTTGGAGTGGGGAATACAAAACCCAGGAGCCATAAAAGACAAGACTGATCTATTTGACTACATTAAAATGTAAAACTTTCCTATGGAAAAAAACCCACAGAATCAAAAAGCTTAAGGCAAGCTGGGGAAATATCTGTAACACCAGCAGACAAAAGACTTAATTCCCTTGATGTACAAAGAGCTCTTAAAAACCAATTTTAGAAGGTGGAGAATTTGAGGGGCTCCCCTGGTGGCGCAGTGGTTAAGAATCTGCCTGCCAATGCAGGGGACACGGGTTTGATCCCACGGGAAGATCCCACATGCCGCGGAGCAACTAAGCCACAACTACTGAAGCCCGCGCGCCTAGAGCCCATGCTCTGCGACAAGAGAAGCCACCGGAGAAGCCTGAGCACCGCAACGAAGAGTAGCCCCCGCTCACCGCAACTAGACAAAGCCCGCGCGCAGCAACGAAGACCCAACGCAGCCAAAAATAAATAATTTTTTTAAAAAATGGTGGAGAACTTGATAAAAATGAAATCAAGATACAAAGACAGTTCACAGAAAAACATAAAATGTCTATAAACGTGTCAAATACACTCAGCCTCACCATAATTAAAGAAATACACAACCAACATAGTTGATGTTACTTTTTGCCTACGAAGGAGAGAAAGATCCAAAGTATTAAGAACACACCATGTTGCAGAGAGGTGAGCAAATAATCGTTCTCGTACGCTGTGGTTTCAAGTTCTCTAGAAAACCATCTGACAAGAGCTGTCAGAATTTAAAATGCACACACTCGGATCCAACTCTTCCATTGTACCCATGGAATATACTCATATGAGTCTCCAAAGGCATGTGCACCAGAATGTTGTTCGTACTAGCAAAACAAAAAGATCCAAAAAGAGAACAAAAAACCAATGGTAACCACCTAAATATCCATCAGGGGAAAGGATACGGGATATCTGTGAGACGGAGCAGCCTAGAAGGAATGACGTCTAGATGTACTTAGATGGAACAATTGCCAAGACAGACTCTTGGATGGATAAATCAAGCTGGGCATAGTATGCTTCAAAGTCTTTCTTTTTTAAATATATTTATTTAATTTATTTATTTTTGGCTGGGTTGGGTCTTCGTTGCTGTGCGTGAGCTTTCTCTATCTGCGGCGAGCAGGGGCTACTCCTCCTTGCGGTGGCTTCTCTTTGTTGGGGAGCACGGGCTCTAGGCGTGCAGGCTTCAGTTGCTGCGGCACGCGGGCTCAGTAGTTGTGGCTCGAGGGCTCTAGAGAGCAGACTCAGTAGTTGTGGCGCACGGACTTAGCTGCTCCGCGGCATGTGGGATCTTCCCCGACCAGGGCTTGAACCCGTGTCCCCCGCGTTGGCAGGCAGATCCTTAACCACTGCGCCACCAGGGAAGCCCCCGAGGAAGGGAGGAAGGAAGGGAGGGGGGAAGGGAGAAAAGGAGAAAAAAAAAACAGATACGCTTGCAGAGTCCGAGACCATTTCCAGAGCACCCAGTCAGCTCCTGACAGAGGTACCACTGGGGAGGGGAGAAGGAGTCGGGAAGTGGTTTGAGGGGGTCCAGGCCAAGCCTTGAACCAGCAAGCAGACCGCTGCCTCTCACTCACCCACGTCGTGTACTGGCTGAACCTCCGCAGGAAGTAGGGCATCCAGTTTCCGAGGGACTTTAAGGTGTCAGGGGCAAGCTTTCT